GATGTTTAGAGCACACGTAATCCACATTTAAGCAAATAGCAAGTCCCGGCAAATAATGTCAAGTCCTGGCAAATAATGTCATCCATCCGGAAAACTATTTACCAGCATGAGCACAACAGCAGCTGAATGACAGGTGAATCATCACTGCAAAAGCTGTTTTCATGTAGGAGGAATACAGAGCCAGGAATGGTGTCATCTTGGGTGAAAAATGACCAACTCTTAAAACAAAAGTTCTGAGATGCTGCCAAACAATTTCAGTATCACGCAGCCCTCCCACGATCTTACATTTAATACTCTATCTCCAGATCCTACTCTTAATTTGTGTTGGACTCCAAAAGTCTAAACATTCTTAAGTTGCACAGCTCATACCCCCCTCATACTTCCAGCATTACTTAAGCCTGTAAAAGACCGTGCCCTTTCCATTTGAATCGTGGCTTTATAATCACAGCAGTTCTACAGTTCTAGACATTTGTTCCACAAATTCAACGGGGCAATCTAAAACCTCCCGGCCCACTGGCCCAGACAGGCGGCAGCAGCAGCCGTATAAAAGTTTAGTTTGGGTGTGTGCACATATGGAGTGTGAACAGGTGTCGCAACTTATGACTCAACATCTACCCCCTATGTCTCGTCCCACTGAGGTCCAACTCTTCCAACATTCAATGTCAATAGAAAAAAAGACATTGAGGATTTGGAGGGTGCACTGATAGCTGTCTTGAGCCCTGCAGTTTCAGAGAGCAAAATAATCAGATAGTTTTGAAAATGCACTTGTGTAATGTTGTCTGCCACTCCAAAGGAACTGTCAATCATTAGAAAAACATGCTGCTGTCAAATCAGTTTTCACAAGGGCATCCATCATTTTAGGTTCAGTAGTTTAAAATGGTTCAAAATCATTCTTATAAAATTTGTTTAAATTGTTAGTATTTGGATTTGGATCTTTTTGCCTGGATCTTACCTAAAAACACAAATTAACTGACAAAAATCGTTTTGCATCACTCTTCGTCAAAGCAAAAAGAGAGAGGGAAAGGAATTTTGTTACTCACTGTGGAGTTGGGTCTGTTTCTTGCGCGCTTTCTGCAGCGCCTCAGCAACACGAACCAGTTGAGGGAGTCGGCCCAATCCGGCAGGTGTCTGCAGACCCGGTGGTTTCATCTGCAGTGCTATGCTGACAAACGTCGGCTCCGTTTGTCGTGGAAAGGTCCTCATCGGGCTCTGAGCTCTCCTCTCTGCCACAGAGAGGGAGGGTGAGAGAGAGGGAGGGAGAGAGGGAGGGAAAAGGGGAGGTGCGCACGTTGAGCAGCACAGGGAGTCACAACCAGCAAAAACAACCCTCGCTTATTGCCTCCAAAGGCTGGGTTTGACTCTGTTTCTGGTGCTGTTGTGATTAATTTAATCACTATAACAGCAATTTATCAGATGCAGATTAGCAGCTTTCTCTATTTCGAGAATGAAAATGAGAGAGAAAAGACTATCCCTCTTTAAAAAATGACATTTTTGCATATTTATGAAGCCAGGACATGCATGGATATTGGACAGTAGTAAAAGTAGCTAAATGTAGGGACCTCAGAACAAGTGTACTGTGCTCAGCTCTTCTGGTTCTTGTTAAGACTATGGCAGCAGCATTGTGGATGATCTGAAGCCGGCTAATAGCCTCTTTAGGAAGATCAGATAAAAGAGCATTACGGTAGTAAGGTCGCTGGAGATGATGCCATGAATGAGTTTCTCTAAATGGGCTCCGAACTAGAATATCGGACTCTGAAGATTCATTTGAGGTGATAAAAAGTTGTCTTAATTACAGCTTTAATGCGGCAGCTTATGTTCAGGTCTGGACAGCTCCTTATGGCATCATCGTCACCCATATCAAAATGTATGACCACTTCAGTCATTTCAGTTCCACTTTTGGTCTTCCTCTTAGAATTTCCTTTTCCTACTCTGTTTTGTCAGGATCAGGAGGGTTCCAGGTTAAGGGGCATTCGGGTTAAGACAATACTTTCACCTTTTCAGGCATAAAAAAATCATTAATTCGATATATTTGTGATTCAAAATGACGAAGAAGCGCATCAACAGAATCAGGTCTTGGGCTCACGTGACTTCCATTAAAAGGCGAGCACCCTGTTCATTTAGGAATTTTTTCCTCACAGAAACAAGCTCCATCTGGGCTGGATAAAGTGGTCAGAAAGACCAATATAATTTACAATATTGTTATAAAAATCAACTTCATTGCTGATTACTAAATCCAGCATGTGCCCTTGTTGATGTGTGGCCTCCTGCCACATGCTGTAGCACGTCAAAAAAATGTTCTCCTTACAGAATCCATTCACCTCAGCATTTACCTCATACCGGGAAATTTTTGTCTCAACAACTAAAATCTTATAAACTCTGCCCCAGACAGAGTTTTGTTGCAGGCACTCCTCATATACATAAATGCACACCAGGCTGGATTTGATTCATTTAATAATTTAATCTGTTTTGGAGACAATTTGAAACACAGATTTATTGGCAATTTTTTAGCTTGCAAGCAGACTATTCTGATAGTTTACTGACAAATACTGATAAATATTGTGCAGTGGGTTTAGTTTGGTCTTGTTGGTACTGGTACAACTGTCATGCATGACAAATTACTTCCTCAGATCCCGTAACAAAGATCTTAGTAACCATGACTTATCCTGTAGGGCCATGAATCACAGGGGATATTGTTTCAAATGAAAGCTCTGTGAAAAAGAAACTAAACTCAGGTTGGTACAGGTATGAGATTTCTCTTTTTTTTTGTCTGTTAGTATCTTTTCTTTAATTCCCGAAATCAAACATTTGGTTCAATATGTGTCTTGTTTTTTTGCTGCGGACACTTATATTTACAAAAGAAGATTATCTAGTCAATATCATCTGTTTTTTTTAGCATATTTTGGTGCAGTAATACTTCCTGCTGTGGTTGGCATTTCTCTGAAATCACAGAATTTTTAAACACAAAATGAACAGGTGCCATGCAAAGCCGCTGCAAGCCTTAGCAAATTTGTTATCAGCATAGATGTTTCAAACTGTGGAAAACACTTCCATGATAGAAAGAAAAACCTTTGAGTGCACATCGTGTAAGGCCAAGGCCTCTGAAGTCATTTGCTCTCTTCATCTGCTGTTCAGGAAGGAAATGAATTCTCTCGTCACCATTGACTCCCTCATCGTTTGAAACGACATCTGTTTCTCACAGGGAAAAAAATGAGAGAGGTGAAACGAAATGCTGAGGCCTGGCATGTTGCACATCCTGTGAGGCCATGCTGGATGCAACTTCAGTGAGTCAAAACGGTTCATTTCTGAAATGTGAAAGAGCGTACTCGGGGAGACTAATGCTGATAAAGGCAGATAAAGTCACATTTGACTGAACTGCCTCCCCTTCAGAGCACATCCATATGCATGAGCGCTTGAGTTCAATGGTTGTTCATTTCTGTTAAATTGATGGGGATTGTTCACATCATGGTGAGGAGCGCAAGCTGTGCCCATGAGTGGTATTTAGCTGGAAGATTTCAGGAGTCAGCGAGTCAGATCAGACTGAATGAATCTGTGATGTAATCAGCCTTGACAAATTAATATAATCTTGAGTGCTTGCTGTCAAACAATGGTATATCGGTCCAGAGATTAATTTATCTTGATTGTGGTAGCACTGTTTTGGTCAATAAGGTTTGCAGTACATATAAATGAACGTGGGCAAACAATTGGTCTGAACTGAAATGGAATTGTCCGGTACAACTGTTCTCTGTGCTTTTTGGCACAAGTGTGGTACTTCCCCGTTCATCATCTTGGCTCTTCGCCCCCTCTGATGAACTCTGTTGTGCTTAGCCTGTCCTGTCTTGAGCTAACCTTCTATCAGTCAACACGCTGTATCGTCTGTGGGCTGCATGCCATTAGGCCTTTGGAGAACTGCATGTCTGATCTTCATGTTGAAAAAAAAAAGACCTCACTAGGTTAGGTTTGTGCTGACACAAACAGATACCAGCATGTCAAGTCAAGTCACACCATCTTTATTTGTACAGCACTTATTACAGCAAAACGTAAAAGTGATCGACAGTTGATCTTGAAACCTGAAAGTTGAAAATCTTCCTGCTTGCAGCTCCAGCACTTTAACAGACAACAGACAAATGCATGCTCCTCCGTACAACATGCACCCTGTTGTCTCTGCAAACTATCACTTTCTGTTGTTATTGCACTGTGTACAGTCCTGTTATAGAGGTGCATCTGATGACACAGACCTGAAAGCTTTCTCTGTCATCTCGGCAAAGCTGACACTTTCTTAAAAGGACTTTGGAAGTACTCCAACAAGGTATGGAAGAGTGTTTCATATTGTTTTTGGAGCTCCCTGAAGGGAAGCAAAGCTCATTAATCTGGCTTTTTCATCTTTGCAGACGGCTTTCATCCAGTATTCTGTTTATGCAGCAAACATATAGGCCTAAGTTCCCTTTGAGTTCTTATTATCCAGCAAAGATTCACTCAGATTTCACCAAGAAATCAAAACGTCTGGTTGAGAAATGGTATTTTATGTAATCCATTTTAGCAGATGTTTACTTGCCAAATCCACTATTAGAATCCAATTTGTTCACTCATTAACAATAACAATAGAATGACCTATCTTGATCATGTTTGAGTTGTATGTATCTAAGTAAGATTGTGTTTCTATGTGAGAGAGAAAAAAAGCTCTCTCCCAGCACTGAGGTCTTTGAGCTAACACAGAGTGTAATTAACAACTCTCTGTCCTCCTCTGTGTTATTAGCACTGCTGACCTTTGAATGAATCCAATGATCAAAATAACAGACTTGGCGCGGCTTCCAAGGAAGTAAAAAGAGAAAAAGTAGTAGTCAGTAAGAGAAAGTTTAGCAATTACTGAAAGTTGTTGGTTAATTCTAACCAAAGAATATCTCACCGCCAAGATTGGTCAAGAACTTCAATTTTTAGTCTGAGTTCAAATCAATGTATATGTAATTAAACAAACTTACCGCAATTATTCTTTGGTTGAATAGAACTTAAAGTTCAAGATGAGCCCCAGATCTAGTATCCCTAAACATCAAACTTTCTCAGTCAAGCTGCTTCTTTAGAAAATCTGATTTAATTTGCAGCTAAGCGTCCATGCCACTAGTCCGCAATCAGTAATGTGTCTATCGTGGCCTGTACACACAGATTAGAGAGCAGAAAGTCAAAAGATTTGTGAGGACAGGGAAAAGATGGACTGGATGATCTTAGAAAACATGGCCTGTCAGAGATTAACTGAAGGCTCAATCAAATGCTGGGCTTGCATTTTCCATACTGTCTTGAGAAATCCAAATTGGGAAGTTGTCCAAGTATTTCCCAATGAAGTTGGATTACTGTAGTACTCAAATCTAATTCTAAGTCATATATGCTCTTTGCTCTACTAACTTTTTTTTTTTTTTTTGCTTTTCATTTCTGTCGAAGGAAAAGTTTAGATTTGCACGCAAATAGCTATTTCAAGATCACGTTGTTCATCCTAAGAGATTAGAATACAGATGAGGGCAAAGCCAAAGGCAAAACATGACATTTCTCAGTCACTCAACTCCCTCATGAAAAAAACAGTCAAAATAGAATTTGTTGCATTGAATGGATACAAAATAAATACTTTATGGTTTAATTTAAATCGTAGTATTTTTCTAATGACCGGTAACAGCTGGAGACGACAGCTTAAATTATAACAGACTGCAGGGACACAGAGGCACATTTGGCCATCTTTTGCTTGTCATACAAAGTAGCTGTGTGAAGTCCGGGTTATTCATCTTTTAGCGTCAGTGATTCACATCGAGTTTACCAGCTGGTATTGCACTCATAACGTAAATATTCTGTATGCCATGAAAGCAGATATGCTCACAAACGTCAAGCCAGCAAGAGAGATGAGTGTTGTGTTCCTCTGCTCTGGCTTTGGGTCTCTGCTGTGCAGAATAAGTTCCTGGACTTTAAAACATTCTGTCTCCACAATCATCACCACTGACCAGCAAACCTCTGCGAAGGGATCGCCGGTCCCTGCAGACCACCGCAGCAGAAGAGAGCGCACACACACACACACACACACACACACACACACACACACACACACAC